GTGTCGAATCGATCGGTGTCGAATCGTACTGTGGTCAAACGGAACACGCCCCGAGAGATGTCCGGATAAGCCGTGAGAACGGCTGTTCCGAGGAGCCGTGAAAACGGCTATCGCTGGGCCGTGGGAACGACCGTGGGGACGGTCGGTGTACCTGGGCCAATGCCCCGGGTACGGTCGGTACGGGAACCTTCCGAGTCAACACCTCGGAGAGGCTGGATCAGCTACCCGAGTCAACACCTCGGGGGAGACGTCGGTGGCTCGAGTCAGCTCCTCGAGCATACGGTTCGGGGCACGGGTGTCTTCCCGAGTCAACACCTTGGGAAGAAGAAACGGTGATTCCGAGTCAACACCTCGGAGATCGGAGCGGGTGTTTTCCGAGTCAGCACCTCGAAGAGGTTGTCGGTTCCGAGTCAACACTTCGGAGACCTAGGAGTGCTTCCGAGTCAATACCTCGGAGAGCGGGATAGGAAAGGAATGGTGCTCGGAGCCGGTTTTGCCCGCCTTATATACGCGGCGGTGGCCCAAGCTCGGTCCGGGGCGCGGCGTGCGGTGCGCGCAGTTGCGTGAGTGGGGTTCTGCGCCGGCGCGGTGCTGTTCGTTGTCTCGGCGTAGGGCGCGCTTACATGATTCGCGGCGAGTGCACATAGTGCAGTACTTTCGGTGTTGCGATGCGGGCTTAAGCGGGAGGAAAATGACACTAGACTATAGATATATACCTCTATATATTAATTGTGACATAAAAATGATTACAACGGTTTTCTAGTGACGGAGTGCCCCGTAACTAGAAAACAAAGTATTCAGGTGTCCTAGAGTAGACATCCTCAGACTTCCTCAGGATTGTCGCCCGACAGGAGGACAATAGATAGATAGCAACGCCTCCTCCGATTTTACCGATTCTGTCATGTCTGAAGAGATGGTATCCAGGTAAAGAGACAAGTTGATCAGAGATTACAGGTTTAAGCCAAGTTTTGGATAAGCATATTATGTCATAATCTGAGTCGATAAAATATGTTCTAAATTCATCAAAGTGAGCCATCAAAGACTGGCAGTTGACATGGCAGACCTTCAGAATCTTGCTGGAGAGTGTTTTAGTCACGATTGACATTCTAACTGACTAGTGAGAATCGTAATTGATATTTTTTATCTTCTCTTGCAGTCTCTTCTTCAATATAGGACAGTTCCTGCCATTGAGCGCAGAGTGTGTGTAGATTCATTACGCAACCATCTTCTGCAGTTTCCGCAGATAGAGGTATTGTCTTTCACAGGACAGTTCTTCATTTCATGATTGCTCGCACAATGACCACATAGGGAAGTGCTCTTGCAGTTTTTGGCAAGATGACCGAAAGCAAAACAGTTGTAACACTAGCACTCTCACGTAGTTCTTGAAAGCACACGATGAAAAATTAATGTAGATTTGTTGCTCCTGTCGCAATAAAGCTCGTATGTGAGGAGGCACTTCGATGATATAACTAGTTGAAGAGCGTTTTGCTTTAGGAGGAAATATGTACACAACTTTTATTTCCGAAGAGTCTTGCGAGTTCAGGTTCAAGTCAATGAACTCAGATCTGATATCATCCCTTGTTAGTCCAACGGGTATTCTATGAACAATAATTCTAGGATCGGATTTAGAAACCTGCTCAACCTTAAGTCCTGCGTTCACAAGTTCAGTAGAGTCTTTGATTTTCGACAAATCAACAGCCGCAGCTTCGATCAGAACGCCATTGTTCCGCGCGGAAGTAATTTTGTTTACTTTTAGATTGAAGTTCGCCGGTTTAATAATCTTTTTGAAAGTCTCTTTTGTCTCATGAGATGAAGTGTATTTGCGGCCAAGGTCCTTGTCAGGAACAACAAGGATATTCGTAGACTTTTTAACAGTTACACTCGGTCCACGAGCAACACAAACAGTAGGGTTAGTGGATTTTACAGCACAAGCATAAGAAAAAGCCGTAGCTGAGCCCTCCTCTGACATGAGACCGGCAGATCGATGTAGCAAAGTGTCAGAGCGCACCTTAGAAATAGCATCAGAAATCATCTCGTTCACAGATGCGACTGAGACGGAAAAAGCGCTATTTTGTTTTTCTAATAAAACTAAGTAAACTGCCGAGAGTTCAGCAAAAGCCTCGCGACAGACTCTAAGGGCAGACTCAATATATGCTTTCCTTTCTAAGGTGTCTTTACTTGCAAGAAGTTTCGAGACAGTATCGGAGTGTTCAGCTATAGAACGTTTAAATGCATAAACCTTAGACGCATTCCAAATAATACCGGTAGACGCACCGCCGGAACTGTTCGAAGGCAGAGACGTAGAAGACCGCTGTCTAGTGAGGACGTTGCGTTTGTCACCGCAGTTTGAATCCGAGGCTCGAGAACCGTCATATGGGGCAGGGAAAAAAGAGGGGGAACCTCGTTCCGACATCTTTGCGGCCGTGATTGGATAGCCCACCTCTAAAGCTCCCGCGCAGGAGTAGGATGATATGATGACTGTCGAATCGATCCGTTGATCTTAGAGATTTAAGTGAAAAATTCAAGGATGAAAACCGCAACGAGAGTGTACAGGAGACTCCAGAAAGTGTTGAGAATATGATCAAATATACAAGCAAAAAGCTTTGATCACAGATCTGAAAAAATCAGGTTCCGAAAAGAGCAGAGAGCAGCAGAAATGAGATCGAAAAACAGAGCACAAAATGACATGTCAGTATATACTCACAGCCGAATAGAGAGAGAGAGAGAGAGATTGAGATTGAGAGAGAGAGAGAGAGAGAGAGCGCAACGAGAGTAATTGCAAACATCATTTTGACAGGTATACGCTTGTGTTGGACAAATTTTGGCGCAATCGGAGTTTTGTGATAATAATTGTGAATAAACGATATAACGGTAAAGTTTAATAAGCAACGTAAAAAACGTAAAAAAACGTAAAAAATACTGCACTTGAACGTGACCGAGATGTCAGTCGGGAAAACAAGTTCACGCGTAGCAGGACTCAGGTCGTGATTTATTCGATTCTCTACACATTTCAAAATTCGTCATATTGTATAAGTAATAATAGTATTTATTTCTCGGTTCTGCAATTTTATATTAAAATCGTAGTTTTGTTTAGCCGCGAGCATAATGTTTGCGACAATTATGTGAAAAAAGGAAAACTAGAATAAAAATTATTAAATAGTAAAATTTGCTACGTAATGTGTGTGTGTAAAATATGCATGTATTTTGTTATTCAAGCGATGTTTTTCTTGTTGTTTTGGCGCTCAAGTCTCGAGAAACGGCAAGATCACGTGTAGCAAATATGTACATATATGATTTATTTAATTAATTTGTAACGATGCTATCGTTACGGCCGGGGACAACCATCCGTCCCGCCCCAAAAACGACGCATAGCACCTAATAAAATTCAATAAATTGCAGCGTGTATCAAATACACGCTGTACGGACGGTTGACGTATAGCGCCGCGCATTCCCTGCGTCAACAAGCGGCCTGCGCGCCGCCCTTACCGTGCGTTTCCCGCGCCAACAAGCGCCAGCTGATACCGCGCCCGCACCGCGCGCCCCGCCACGCCACGAAGCGACAAGCGCGACAGATAAATTGTTTGTTTCTCCCAATTTCACGTCCCCGCTCCTCGGGAAATTGCGGGATAAAAGCCGGGTCCAAAATCAGCGTGGCAGATCAGTCCGATCTCCGAATCTAGCGAAAAGCACCAGGGGAAGCTCCTCGGTTGAGCAAACCGACAGCAACTTAGGATTCGTTCCTCTCCGGGAAAACTGGAATCCGTTCCACTCCGCTCCGGAGAATCTTGTATTCTCCGCCGGGTAAACCGGCATTTGTTCCACTCCGCTCCGGGGAATCTTGTATTCTCCGCCGGGTAAACCGGCATCCGTTCCGCTCCGCTCCGGGGAATCTTGTATTCTCCGCCGGGTAAACCGGCATCCGTTCCGCTCCGCTCCAGGGGAATCTTGCATACTCTGCCGGGCAAACCGGCATTCCTCCGGGGATCTCTCGCCGGGGAAATCGGCCTCCGTGTCAAACCCTTCTTGGGGAACAATATTCTTTTCCGAATAAACAAAGGCGCCGCGCTACGCCTAGCAGGAAAAGCCAATCGTACGCCGGCATCACTGTCATGTCAGCGAAAAAGATATTTTTCTCTACCAAAATCACTTTTCTTTCAGTTGAATTTAAGAACAGTATTGAAAACTCATTTTTCAAGAACTCACTTTACTAAAACTCACTTTTCACGATTTCATCTGTAAACTTTCTTTGTAAATATTTCTTCTTTTCTTTTTTTTAATAAACGCAAAGTATTATTTTTGCTTAAATCATAAATTGAGTCTACTCTGAGTTCTTTACCTTAACCGAACCCTGTTCCCGACGAGCTACTTTGCAGCTTTAACTCTTAACGGACGACGACTTTTTCGACCGGGTGAGGTAGCAGAACGAAGCGATTTTTGCGAATGTGTTGAGTGACTTACATAGTATAATAAAATGATCTTACATATAAATTATCTCATAAAAACGTTATAGGCGACACCGCGTGTCGCCTCTCACTCGCCACTCAACAAAAGTCACTTTTGTTCAAACAAAGCCAAAGTGAGAGAGTGAATTATGTCAAAGTCAACCAAAAAATGATGTACCATTTTGCAAAATTTGCAATAGTTATCGACTAATTAATCCATAAATGTGTGCGAATGAAAGCGTGAAAAACGCTCGTTTGAACTCTGTATAGATGTATGCGATTAGCTGTAGACCTTCCTTACGTATAGCCGAGTGTCGGCTTACGCCGTGTCACAATGTCACAAAAACGAGAGGCGAAACCAATATTCAGAGATAGTCTTTCGTCTTTGAGATATTGCATAAGCTGACACTCGGCTATACGCAGGGAAGGTCCACTGCTAATCGCATACATCTACAGAGTCCGAACGGGTGATACTCTATTGACCACAGTACAATTCGACACCGCTCGATTCGACACAGATTTATTCGACACCAAATTATTCGACACCGTACG